GTGAGACACAGAAGGGGGAGGGAGGGAGAGGCCAGTGCGATGAAGCCGCCTCATCTTTTCTATCCTTCGCACACGACTTTGTCTCGCTCGCACATTGACCGCCCCCTCCCCTGCTCCGCCCATTCCAGGCTGTACAGCAGGCGTTCGGACTGAGCCGTTAGCCGGCAATCCTGCACATGGTGGTGGGGTGACGCGACGTGGGCGGGGCGGGGCTGTGTCGGATGGGTAGGTTGGTGTGGGCCAGCTGGGGGGTCAAAGAAGAGCATCTACCACGAACGCGAAGGCCAAGGGCGACGCGCAAAACACAAACAGACACGCAGGGGGGCCTCAGCCAGCCCTCGCGGTCGGAAGTATTTTGGCCGAAGTCGACAGCGGGCTTCCTTCCTAGCCAGCGTTGCGCTGCGTTGTGGTGGAGGTAGGTGGAGGCTCTCAGGCGCGGCCAAGCGAGCGAGCCTTACAATCAGACGAGGATCTCGAATCAATCATCTTTCGCACCCACCGGCCCCACCGGGGCGGCCGCGGCCAGGTCGTTACCCTCTGGAGCCGGTCTGCGCTCCGCTCGTCTCCAAGACCGACCGACTCCAAAATGTGTATTCCTAACGGGGCCACCTTGCGCCGGTCGTATGAACACCCAACCCAAAATTATTATTATCCTCAAAACAATCGTAATAATGAAGCAAGGACTGGAGGAGTATGGCTCGACGAGAGACTAGACTCAGGTGTGGCCAAAATGCAATGCGCGTCGGTTTGAAGAATATGCAATACAAAGACGATGCACCCTAATGCCACCTTCGACCTTAGATTTGTTTTACTGCACATAAAGAGAATTTTTCCGTGCAACAAAAATAGACCAAACATTTACCTAATTTATGCAAGCTATTGGGCATTGCAATACGGCAGAAAAACGACGCATAAGGGTTTGGCGTAAACCGTTCGAATCACGCACGTTGACTTTCGTAGCCTCAACCATCAGTGCGTAAAGTGCTGCCGTGGTTGCAGCCCCCAGGCCGTTGCGGGTTGCGTGGACGCTCCCCGCCAGTGTGCTGCCTTCAGGTCGACGGACTCACCTGCATGGTGAAGTAGTCCTGCGGTGTGGTGCTGCGGGCCCGTGTCCTGTGACTAGCTGGAGTGGTGCGTCGCACCGTTGTGCCGAGCCGAGCGATCTGCCAGCCGGGCGCGGCGGGCGGCCCCGCCAGGCCAGGACCCGCTGCCGTCCTGCCACGCCGCCGACGAGACGGGGCGGGGCGCGGCGGGCGTGAGGCGGGGTAGGGCAGGGCGCTGCGGGGTAGGGCGCGGTGTCCGAGATCCCCGGAGATCGGCCCGGTGGCTCTGCACCGCCAAAACAGGCAAGGTGGCGCCGGACCCCTCGCGTCCCATGGGCGTTTTCTCCCGGTGGAAGTGTCACCGACCACCACCGTCCCACTCACGGGGGCGCCGGGTCTATGCCATTTGTACGACCTGTTCGAGCCCAACATCCCAAAAATGACGGTTCCCCGAAAAATTGTAAAAAATTTTGACCAACCTGTATTTTGTTTCACCTAATTTTAGTCTGACCTCTTTAAATCCAACAAAAGCTGAGTGCGTTTTCGAAGTTTTCAAACCCAGCAAACTGACGCTTTCCTTAGTGATTTAAACCAAGACATTGTGGGATCTATGAAAATTTATTCCCTGAAGCCAACCAAACATTTGATCAAGAACTTAAATCAAAATCTGATCAGGCGAACAAAAATATTATCAAGTCGATCACACCCTTCTGTTCTGCTGATAACATAATGGTTGGAGGCGGCAGTTCCCGCGATCACAGAAGTCGTCAACGACTGCGGGGGCGGGCCGGGTTGAGGTAAGGGACGTCCTCCCCCATATTTTTTTTTTCATTTTTTATTTTTTTGTCGGGTAGGGTCGTTTGCATTTACGATGCCGAGTGAACTTATTTCTAAAATGGGTGCTGATAAAGTTGCATGTGGCCGTGTTGGTTGTAGCTACAAACTAGGTCGTAACTAAATGCACCAATGAAATAGAGAGCGGTGACGGGCCGTGACAGCCCCGCGTCACAGGGGGAACTGAGGAACGTCCCTCGGTCGGAAGCGGTGCTCTCCTGGGGTACGTTGCCCGGTACCCCCGGTACCCCTGGTACCTAGGCTTATTTTACTTCGGAAATGTGATAAAATGTTATAAGATGTCAGGATATTAGGGGTGTTAAGGGTACTGGGGGTAACGGGGGGAACGTACCCTACGGCACCGTTCCCGACCGGGGGACGTTCCTCGGTTCCCCTGCACAACGTGACGAGGGAGCGTGACAGTGACCAGCTTTGCGTGACGAAGGAAGAAGGTGGAAAGATCTTTGTTATCCGTCAGCCGTTGATAGGCGTAATGGACGAGTTGTGTTTGTATGCGTTTGTCTCTTTAGTAGGCGAGAGTACTCCGCGACTTCGGCCCGTCGCCTTGGCGCGTAAGGCTTGCCCCGGTGGGTAGGCAGCCAACCCGACTCAGATGCCGGAGAGGCTGCCTATAAACGGTACTTTGTAGAGCGGGATGGCAGTGAATCTTTGCAGCGCGGATGAGTGCCGAGGGGACTCTTGGGCGAGGTAGCCGTGGGCCATGGAAACTATAGTCCGGCTAGCCAAAGGTGACGCCTGGGTTTGCTTTTGCTGTAGCCGCCCATTAGAGCGCACCCGAGGTGTCACCTTTGGCTGACGCTCTAACACAAAGGGTCGTATATCCTGGATTTGTTTTGAAACCTTTCATTAACAATTATTCTTATTCTTCCCTTTTTCACATTTGTGTCAAGTTCTTTCAAAAAATCCCGCAATTATTCAGTTGTTGTTGTTTTTCTTGTTGTTTGTTATTGTTTTGTTGTTTTTGTTGTT